AGCACGGAGGTGCGCCCTGGGCTGTGGCATAACAGGTGCACCGCGTGCAGTACGCGTCGAAAGGCAAATGCATAAAGCGCGACGGTCGTGACCGTGTGCCATTACACGATAGACGCCAGAAGCGCATGGGCTCGCCCGACAGTGCGCGCCGGCCAGAATCGTGAGAAGCGCACGCACGCAGGCTCAAAACCATCCCACGGTTGGCTGAGGGCCGTACAGCCATGTACGGAACAAGGACATCCGTAAATTCATGGACGGTATCCACATCGCTACCATGCGGCCGCACGACATTGTCTGTTGTGAGATGCGCTCGTAGTATGCGTATGATGATGACCAGAACCAAGATCGAAAGGAGAGATAAATGCGCAAGTCCGTGTCGTGGTTGCGAAAGGAAGGATCCGTCGGTCGCTGAGCGCACAACTGTAGCATAAGCCTAGTACGGTCAGCTGGACATCCTGGACGTACCACTTCGCACCCGCGCACTGTTAGTACTATCAACTGAATGGGCGCAGCCCTCTCCACACCGCCAGCAGCCATCTGCTCAAACCCAACGCTACGACGGACGCGGATGAGTGCGATGGCAATCAATGTGAATTGTCCGATGTACGATAGAGATGATGTCACAGGATAGTAGGATATACAACGTTCAACGAGCACAACACGGTGCGGATATACATGGCGACGATCGCGGAATGACATGGTGAGGGGCGCGGAGTACCAGAGATAAGGCGGCGAAAGCGAAGAGGACTGCACGGGCGCGCTCAAGATCTCGGGTTACTCTGAAAATTGAAGCGGTTGGGAATAGCCTTGACGGGTGGAGTCGACTCCTTGGCTTTGGACTTGGCGCGCGTCGCAGGCCCCGTTGTACTCACGATCTTGCCGGAGGCGGCGCCCTTCTTCGTCTGCTTCTTCGTCTTCGACGACGACCCTGCTCCCGTCCGATCCAACTGGCTGCTACTTGCGCGAGGCACCGCACTGCTGCCAGGCACATTGTCGTTGGAATCAGCAGTGTCCACGCCCGGTGACCTCCCCTGCACTGGCTCAATACGCCCGACGTTGACCCCAGACCCCGTGGAGACGTGTTCGGCCGGCTTGTCAATGTCATCGTCATCCCGAGGGGGCACCTCTCCAGAGGTTTTGATGTGAGGACTTTTGCGGAGCAGATCCAGAACCAAGTCTAACGCAAACATCGAAGAGAGTGAAACCGAGGTGAAACAAGAAGCATGAAGCCATACTGACCTTGCAGAGTTTTTTCGCACAGAGCGAATTTCTTGAAACCCTCTTTCGCCGCTCTGAGGCTCTCCTCCAGCAAGTCGGCCTCGACCTGGGAACCCGCGGGCTCTGCGCGCGTCAATACTCTCTCGAAGGACTCGAGCCCCGCGTACATACCATTCAGACCGATCACCGAGACGACGTTCTCCACGAAACGACGCTGGCCCTTGCACGCGATCCGCACTGCATTCAGATGCCACAAGCGGTCCTCGACGGGGTCGGTAATGGGAAGCTCGTTAAAGTCCAGGGACGTGACCGTGCCAAACAGCCTGCTGTTCCAACGTCGCTGCACTTTCCAACAGTCGATCATGGCAAACCGTTCTGCGCTGCTCAACCTGGTCGTGCGGTGCGCAGAGAAGGCGAGAACCTGCTGCGAAGCATTGTAACTGTCGCGAACTGCGGTGGCGTCGAGGAAATCCTGTGCGATACAAGCGTCGAACAGGCTGGAGGTATCGATCCACGAGCCGCAGCGCATCGGGATGTCGTTAGGCCATGTCCTGTCACATTCGTCTTGGCACAAGGCTACGCATTATAGTCAGAAAACATAAGCATCGCACACAAGGTACATCCTGATGAAAGGTGCGACGTACAGTCAAGCGCAGGCATGATCTTCTCGACGAAGATGGCGTG